CCTGGGACAGCAGGGAGCCCAGAGCCCTGTGCTTTCCAGGAATGGCTCAGCTGCACATGCACCCTCCTGCTCCTCTCCTGTCTGCTTCCACAGAGCTTCCTTGGGAACAGAGGCATCCCAGTGCCTGTCTTACACTGAGAGCTTTTTTCCTTTGTTCTCTGGCTTTTTGGTATAGACTCAGACGAACTTGTAGACCAGGTACAAGAGAAGAACTGAGTTCATTGAACTCACACCTTTACAGTCAGCCCTTCTAATGGGTGAGGAATTCAAAGTGTATTTTAGCTACTGAAAAGCTTGGTTGTTTTTTTATTTTTCATGAAACTAGCAGCAGCAGCTAAATTTCTCAGAACAATATGGAGCTGGCAAGCCAAGAGAGAAGGGTTTTACTACTTCGTGTGTTGCCCCATGCCTCCCCCTTTCCTTCCAAACAGTTGGAACTTCACCATGATCTCTAGCATCTGACACTGTCAAGGAAGTAATTGTTTCCAAAAGTAGTTTTCAAGGCCTTTGTATCTGTATATCACTCCATTCTAGGTCGGGTTTTGCAGTTTTGGGATTTTTTATATTACTCTTTACAATAAAGGAAGTGCTGGGACACAAACAATGGCACCATATGTTAGATGTAATAGAAGCTTTGCTTTCTACATTAGATGTGCCCAGTATTCTGTGAGCCTGTATTTGTAGGGAACAAAGTCGTCATCTAAAAGTTCCACTTTTGCACTACTAACTTGTTACTGGGGTTTATTCTCTGTGTTCTCATAAACAGAGACAGCCAAACCCAACATGAACGTGACCTGCCTCAAAACATTTCTGATCTTGGCTAATACTGACATTTCCAAATTTCCTTAAAGGAAATTGCAGAGAGCAGGTCATTCTGAAATACTCTCCAACAGAATTTTTAGAACTAAAAGAACTAATTAATTACATGGCTATAAAGAGGATAAAATCATATGGCAGCCAAGCAGCACGAGAGGAATTCCTGTCTTAAGCCTGGATTCCTTCACCCAGTAGAGTGCTTGGGTCAGTAATAAAAGTGAGACAGGTAAGGATTAATGACACAAGTCATTTCCAGTCCAGAATTATTCCCGAAGAGAAGGTACCTTACTTAGTGAGCAATACTTCTCCCTAGCTGCATTAGGCATTCCAGCTGCATATCAGCAACTGAGGAGTCATTACAAAGGGGCCATACCAGGATTTGGTAGAATTAACCCTGAGACCAGGGGATCTGATCCCTTCTTCTGCACCAGCAGAATTATTTCTTCAGGTCTCACCTCTCGTATCATTACACACCCAGAGAGGGTAAAGGAACAAGAAGAGTGCCCTGGAAGTATTCAACTTGAAAGCATTGGCTGACCCAGATGTACC